AATTACCTTACAAATGACATTTATTTTCTGACTTGATATCATGAGTAGTCATAATCAACCCTTAAATACATTAAGATAATATCCGACTTCCATTCACTCTTAGAATTCAACAATCTATTATTCCATCTTCTAGTCTAAGATTCTTAGCCAATTAGTAATTTGGGGCCAAAATATAATTCAAAGTCCTAGCTCAGACCCCCTAAACTGAAATTTCCATGCTGAAAAACGCGTTGGAACGCCTGAATTTTTTCCACAAAGTCCTTTTCCTTTTTTAAAGCTAAAGCTAGGAAAAGTCACAAATTGTTCTACAGGCATAGAACAAACTAGGTACTATATTTACCTTCTGCTACAGCCGTGCTTTTTGCACAAATTCAAAGTCTAGTTCTCAAATCCTCGTTAAACCATGGCTTTTGCTTCTCCATATTCTCTATGTCCCATTCTACTTTTCCTGCTGCCAGTTTGTGTTTTAGCTCAAACATCTCAGAGTATATCATTGGACTCCACATTAACTGCAGCACTTGATAAAAACGATTCCTGGAAATCTCCATCTGGAGATTTTGCATTTGGATTCCAGCAAATAGAAGCTGGAATGTTCTTGCTAGCCATATGGTTTGACAAAATACCTGAAAAAACCATTATTTGGTCAGCCAATGGTGGAAATCTGGTGCAACCACGTTCCAAAATTCAACTTACAACAGATGGCCAGTTTACGCTCAATGACGACCAAGGAAAGCAAATGTGGGCAGCTAACTTGGCTGGCTCTGGTACCATTTCTTATGCAGCTATGCTCGACTCTGGAAACTTTGTGCTGGAAAGCCAGGACTCCACCAACTTGTGGGAAAGTTTTGATCAGCCGACTGATACAATACTACCCACACAAATATTAAACATAGGCAGCAGCCTCGTTGCTCGTTTTTCAGAAATGAACTACTCGAGCGGGAGATTTTTGATGCGGTTACAATCAGATGGAAATCTTGTACTTTCTACTGTACATTTCCCACTGCTTTCACTAAATACTGGTTACTGGTCAACTAACACTAATGGAAGCGGCGTTCAGGTTATCTTTGACCTGTCTGGCTCTATCTACCTCAAAGCTAAAGATGAAAGCATACTCAGTAATATAACATCAATTGGAGCTTCATCTAGCAACTTCTACCAGCGAGCAATCCTCGAACATGATGGTGTCTTCAGGCAATATGTCTATCCAAAGAACGATAGTGTCGCTGATGGAAGGCCTATGGCCTGGTCCTCGCAGTCCCATGTCCCAGACAATATTTGCATGAGCATCTCAACACAAAACACAGGTAGTGGGGCTTGTGGGTTCAACAGCTATTGCCATCTAGGAAATGATCAGAGACCTATAAGCACGTGCCCACCTGGATACTCACCCTTGGATCCGGATAATGAAATGATGGGATGCAAACAGGCTTTTGTTCCACAAGAGTGTGATGGAGGCCAAGATGCAGATCTTTTTGATATGAGGGAGCTGTCCAACGTAAATTGGTGGGGAGGGGATTATGAATTATTTAACCCCGTTAGTGAGGATTGGTGCAGACAGAGATGCTTAACAGATTGCTTTTGTGCTGTTGTAATCTATAATACAGCTAGTGACTGTTGGATGAAGAGAATTCCTCTCTCAAATGGGCAGCAACTTAATGTTGAGGGAACGAAAGCACTGGTCAAAATAAGGAAAGGAAATTCTACGACAGCCGTTGCCAGTGGTTTAAAGAAGCAGAAGTCAGCACTGAATCTTATTCTAACTATGCTCTTTAGTAGCTCAGCATTTTTAAACCTTGTTCTGTCGATTGCTACTCTTTGGGTTGTTTTCAGGAAAAGAAGGATCACTCAGCCATCCGGAGGAATCCAAGGCATAAGTTTACGAAGCTTCACTTACAAGGAACTTGAAGGAGCTACAAATAATTTCAAAGAAGAACTTGGGAAGGGTGCTTGTTCAACAGTTTACAAAGGAATTCTTGCTATTGGTAACAACAATTTGATTGCAGTTAAAAGATTGGACAAGATGGTGACAGACAGCGAGCAAGAATTTCAAGCAGAAACAAGCGCAATTGGCAAGACAAACCAAAAGAATCTTGTGCAGCTGCTAGGATTTTGCAATGAGGGACAACATCGACTTTTGGTGTATGAATACATGAGCAATGGATCTTTAGCATCTTATCTTTTTGGGAAGTCAAGGCCCAGTTGGTATAGAAGAACTGAAATTGCTTTTGGAACTGCAAGAGGGCTTGCTTATTTGCACGAAGATTGCAGCAACCAGATCATACACTGCGACATCAAGCCACAAAATATCCTTCTAGATGACTCCTTGACAGCAAGAATTTCAGACTTTGGATTGGCAAAACTTTTGAAGACAGGCCAGACACGAACTCTTACCGCAATTAGGGGTACAAAAGGATATGTTGCTCCAGAATGGTTCAAAACAATGCCAGTAACAGTCAAAGTTGACGTTTATAGCTTTGGAATTGTGCTGCTAGAGCTCATTTGTTGTAGGAAGAGTTTTGATCAAGATGCAAAGGATGAAAATCAAATGATATTGGCTGATTGGGCATACGATTGCTATGAAGAAGGGAGAATGTATATGCTAGTGCAAGAGGATGAAGAGGCAATTCAGGATATTGAGAATGTAGAGAAGTTTGTGATGATTGCCATTTGGTGCATTCAAGATGATCCATTGCTAAGACCCACTATGAAGAGAGTCTCACAGATGCTAGAAGGTGCTATTGAAGTTGCTCTTCCTCCCAAATCTTCCAATTGATAAGTTCAATACTCATCTTCAACTCCCTCATTATCTATTGAAAAAAAAGATTTATCAATATTATTGAATAAATTTCGTAGGGTGATATTTAGCGTATGCTCATGAATATAAAGATGTTTTCCAAGATAACATCATGCAAACGTATTAATAAATGAATAACCATCAATTCTTCAAAGTAAATTTTATGCTGATATAAGCTGAGGGTCTTCTCCATAAAATATCCCAAAGTTGTCTTAATTTTTAATTTTTGATCTATTTCAAAATTTTAAATGAGATTTATAAAGATAACATATTCCAGTTTCAAAGTCTATGAAAACTTGCAAGATTCTTCTTATAGATTACAAACTTTAAAGAATTAACTTTGCTCTAAAGGCACATGTTAATAGCATACTTATTGTTTTTTTTATTAATTAAAAAAAATAAAGGTTAATACTAATTTTAACAATTGTTGAATTAAATGCATATAAGTAGAAATGATTAATATTAATTTTTTTATGTCTTATGTAATTAAAACAAAAAATAATAGCACCTGGGCCTTCCGACCCAATGGCATCAGGCCATGCATAAGTGCATTCTCCCGTCCCAGGGCAACGGTTCAAATCCGGCCCATTGCAAATTTGTTCAAAAAAAAAAAACAAAAAATAATAAATACAATATAGAAAAAAAAAATGTTTAGTTACAATTTTATCTAGAATTATAAATTTACAACATAATATGTCATTTTATAATTAAATTTTTTTATTTAGAAATTCACTCATAAAATTATATGCATTTATTTATTTAATATTATATTATACTCATTTAATTTTACATTATAATAATAACTTTATAATTTTACGTAACAATGTTACTATAGGATTATGTGCTTAAAAAAACCAACCATTAATGTAAAGCCATAAAGTATTTATAACAGAAGGAATCCAAGGCCTGGTTGGTACAGAAGAATTGAAATTGCTTTTGGAACTGCAAGAGGGCTTGCTTATTTGCATGAAGAGTGCAGCAACCGGCCGGATCAGATATTGTGACATCAAGCCTCAAAACATCCTACTAGACGATAAGTAATGCTCTTATTACACACCTGCAGAATTCTTGATATATAGATATAGTTTTTAATACGGTTTTGTAGAGATTATACCTTGGGGGTTGAGGTTAATGTTGAGCTCGACTCTTCAGTTTCGCTTTTTTGACGTTTAGTTCACAAAATCAAGAAAAACCACAGAAACATATTGCAATTTTAATAACAAGCAAAACCACAATTTGAAGAACAATTTCCAATTTCAGAAAAATTAAAAGATACATGATGGACAAAGGTTGAAGGACAGAGCAATACCTTCAAAATTCAATTGAACCCAGACATCCTAAGATTTCATAATTAATTACTTCAGCATCCAATTGAGACCAACCCACGGCAATTTCAGAAACTTCATCAGAAATGGCGGCCCCGAAGAAAATACGCTGATCTGCGAAGAAGAACGAAGTGAAAGAAGGACAAAGTCACGATTCAGACTTCGATTCAAACGGGGACTGAAGAACGGAGTAAGAAGGCAGAAGAAACCTGTGATTGAATTGGAGGTTGGCTAGAATGAATACTGTGTTTAAGTGTTTTTGTGTTAATATGTTTGGGCTTCGTTTTTAGGCCGAATGTTAAGTGTTTTTCATTCTTTGGGAGACCCATAGGTCATTGGGCCGAGTGTTAAGTCTTTGGGTCAACCCAGATCTTATGGTCATTCTCATTTGAGTCGATTTTTTTTAGACATTAGAGCCGACATTGAAAAAAACACAAACAGGGAAAAAAAATGGAATACTTTAATTATATATATTTCACAATTTCACAATATTTTTTTAACCTCACAAAACTACATGTGCATATTCAAGCTTGTCTAAATACTCATGAATAGCTAAACTTATTTACAACATTGTTTCAATTACCAAATTATTAGATGTTGAAATTTGAGAGTTAAAAAACAGATTATTGATTTTAAGATGCGTTATAAATGTTATTTATTTAGGTTGTTTTCAACCTCCACTATTTTGGTATGTAAAGAAGTTAACTAAAAATACTTACAAAATACGTTGAAACCCTATTAATTATACTTTGAACTAATGAAACCAACTACTGAATCTCTTTTATATCTATTCTTCCTATTGCGTAAACCTTAGCATATTAGCATTCTGTTTGATCCATTATCCAGGATGGAATTTCTAAAACCTTTCTTTCATTCTCTTATCATCAACATAGAATTCAAAAATGAATTATTAACTTTTGATGATCTTGGAATAGGAGAAACTGTTATATTGCCATACCTGGTACCAAGAAGACATCATCTTCTTCTCATTTAGGTATGCATTGTTGTTCTCTCTATTTATTTATTTTGCAGGGTTTGAACTATTGTTTTTAAATTCATGATTTCCATGCCACTAGAGCATGGGAAATCTTACTGTCATAAATTATGTGACATACGCACATCAACAGGGAAATATATGTTAGTAAAAATTCTTCATTATATGACGTAATATACCCAATAAGTTAAGCAATCCCTGAAAATGCTAGACCCCAAAAAAAAAAAAAAATAAAAAAAATAAAAAACAGAGAACAAAACCATGGAACGTATTGCTAAACATATATAGTCCTATTTCCACACTTAATAGTGCATGAAAATGAAACAGCTAAGTTTATATCAAATGATTCAGTTGTTGTGATTGACTTGTCAATTCAAAACTTTTAGCAACATGGAGAACTTAATATTTATAAGAAACTAATGACAAAACTTTGTTTAATGAAAACAACTCCTATTATAAATCAGTGTATATCCATGATTATTCACTGTCATCTTCATGTATCTATGGTATCGAAGAATCAGTGTACATATGTATGTTGTCCATGTGTTGGAAATAGAGGAAATCCCTTTTATGAGTAGAAGGATGACCAAGAGGTCCAATTTGATATATAATAAAAATATTACAAATGGAAATTTTAGCTAAAAATAATTCTGAAAGATTTCGTTTTCATACTTATGAAGTTATGGCTTTGACAAAATCAATGTTTTAAGATATTACATATATTATATAGAAAGTTTAGGTATAATTTATGATAGAAATTAGAAAGAATAAATTTTTTTTCTTGGTTTTTGATAGTGAGACATAGAAAGGGTTTCAAAAGAAACTCAAATAATTCTTTTCAATAAAAACAGAAACTTTATAATGAAATAAATGTATATCTATACTATAATAGATACTATAACAGTGAGAGAGGCGAGTATAAGTTTCTGACTTTCAGGAGCTGAAAAATGACAATATCTTTTTCACCTTGCCTACAGGGTTTTAACATGCTGTTTAATAATGCTATCCTTCACTAATATGATCATATATGTGCTGCTGCTTTTTTCCTTTTCTGGGCAATATGCTGCTGGTACTTATTCTGGGGAAATTAAAATGGTTGTTTTAGGTGATGCAAAGGGGAGAATCCGACAGTCTGAGCAGTATGAGGAAGCTGCCACTGGGCCAGACATGAAGGTTTATAGTGGAAAGGGAAAGGTTGATGATGTCTTGTTTGAAGGAGCTGGTGACGGTGAGGAGAAACATCAGAGAAGAGGGTTGAACAGGAACACACAGAACCAGAATCTTGTTCATAATTCAGAGGAAGAAAATGAAATTCCCATCATTCATTGGTGCAAGAAATTGAAAAGTACGCAAAGAGTAGAAATTTGCAAGTTTGATGATGCAAATTCTAAAGAGGTTGATGTGCCATGAAATGAAAGGGTTAGGTTTTATACATCTGACGCTAGACCATGATAATGAAATAATTAGTTAAGAAAAAATAAGTTGAGCAAACTTCATTAAACTCGAAAACAATGTTTCATAGGATTTGGGTTTTCTTATCATGTTAAATAAATTTGATTTTGTGAAGGTGAATTTGTTATAAATTTGGTATTGTTTTATGCCATGTCCATGGCATCATATGCCAACATTAACTATTACTTTGTGAACCATATAATCGTTTGCATAATGTTAATTGAAAAGCTAGCATTTCCTTTCTCTCTCTCTCTCTCTATGGTGGCAGAAAAAGGATGCCTTGTCTAGTTGTGTGACAGGTTCTATTGCTGCAGAAATTAAAATCGTCGCAAAAACTGCGTTTGAATGTTCTATGGTAGAAACAAAGTACTTTCTTGCATTTGGTATTATTATTACCTCCTTTACATTTCGGCATGCACATCAACAGTGCTGTGCCGATCCTTTCCCCTTCTTGCGTACTGAAAAAATCCATTGCCTTGACTTGTTCAGGGTTAAATGGCCCGGAGTTGTTGAGGGCTATGGCCTTTTCCAAGTCTTTTAAGATTAATTGCCTAGCAAGACGGGCTTCTCTTACCGATGACTGCATATCGTTTCTGCATCATGATTAGTCAGATGCCAACAAACCGACATGACCAAGCCGTATATACGGAAAAATCTCCCATCTTTGGAAACAATTCTCCACACGGTGAGCCCACCTCAGATTCATTTGCTTTGAAGAATAGAGACTATGGAAAAGTCATAGAAGAAAACTATGGAATTATGGAAATGTCAAAAGTTTCTAGATAGACCTGTAGAGAAGAAAGGAGCTATATTTACATGTAGCACGAGCTTTGTTTTCTGCAAAAAAGTTGAAAGTCTGCTTCTTATATCCGTACGTGTTAATTATGGATTTGCTTGTGCATTTTTTCTCTGTTTCATTCTAGTTTTCCTGCTGCCAGTTTCTGTTGTAGCTCAAATACATAAGGAAATATCCTACCTCCTTCCACACATGGAATCCAACAATCTATTATTCCATCTTCTAGCCTAAGATTCTTAGCCAGTTGGTAATTTGGCCAAAATATAATTCAAAGTCCTATCTCAGACCACCCAAACTGAAATTTCCATGCTGAAAAACGCGTTGGAATGCCTGAATTTTTTCCACAAACTCCTTTTCCTTTCCTAAAGCTAAAGCTAGGAAAAGTCACAAATTGTTCCACAGGCATAGAACAAACTAGGGACTATATTTCCCTGCTGCCACAACCGTGCTTTTTGCACAAATTTTCAAAGTCTAGTTCTCAAATCCTTGTTAAACCATGGCTTTTGCTTCTCCATATTCTCTATGTCCGATTCTACTTTTCCTGCTGCCAGTTTGTGTTTTAGCTCAAACATCTCAGAATATATCATTGAACTCCACATTAACTGCAGCACTTGATAAAAACGATTCCTGGAAATCTCCATCTGGAGATTTTGCATTTGGATTCCAGCAAATTGAAGCTGGAATGTTCTTGCTAGCCATATGGTTTGACAAAATACCTGAAAAAACCATTACTTGGTCAGCCAATTGGTCAGCCAATGGTGGAAATCTGGTGCAACAAGGCTCCACAATTCAACTTACAACAGATGGTCAGTTCAGGCTCAATGACAGCCAAGGAAAGCAAGTGTGGACAGCTAACTTGACTGGCTCAGGTATTGTTGATCATGCGGCTATGCTCGACACGGGGAACTTTGTACTGGCAAGCCGGGACGACTCCTATTTGTGGGAAAGTTTTGATCAGCCAACTGATACAATACTGCCCACACAAATATTAAACAGGAACAGCAGCCTCGTTGCTCGCTATTCAGAAATGAACTACTCGAGCGGAAGATTTTTGATGCAGTTACAATCAAATGGAAATCTTGTACTTTTTACTGTACATTTCCCACTGCTTTCACTAAATACTGATTACTGGTCAACAAACACTAATGGAAGTGGCTTTCAGGTTATCTTTGACTTGTCTGGCTCTATCTTCCTAAAAGCTGAAAATGAAAGCATACTCAAAAATATAACATCAATTGGAGCTTCATCTAGCAACTTCTACCAGCGAGCAATCCTTGAATATGATGGTGTCTTCAGGCAATATGTCTATCCAAAGAACGATAGTGTCGCTGATGGAAGGCCTATGGCTTGGTCCTCGGACTCGGAGTCCCATGTCCCAGACGATATTTGCAAGAGCATCACAATGCAAAGAACAGGCAGTGGAGCTTGTGGGTTCAACAGCTATTGCCATCTAGGAAATGATCAGAGACCTATATGCACGTGCCCACGTGGATACTCACCCTTGGATCCAGATAATGAAATGATGGGATGCAAACAGGCTTTTGTTCCACAAGAGTGTGATGGAGGCCAAGATGCAGATCTTTTTGATATAGAGGAGCTGCCCAACGTAAATTGGTGGGGAGGGGATTACGAATATTTTAAACCCGTTAGTGAGGATTGGTGCAGACAGAGATGCTTAACAGATTGCTTTTGTGCTGTTGCAATCTCTAATACAGCCAGTGAATGTTGGATGAAGAAACTTCCTCTCTCAAATGGAGTTCAACTTAATGATAATGGAACCAAAGCACTGGTCAAAATACGAAAAGGAAATTCCACAACACCCGTTGCCAATGGTTTAAAGAAGCAGAAGTCAACAATGAATCTTATTCTAACTATGCTTTTTAGTAGCTCAGCATTTTTGAACCTTGTTCTATCAATTGCTACTCTTTGGGTTGTTTTCAGGAAAAGAAGGATCATTCAGCCATCTAGAGAAATCCAAGGCGTAAGTTTACGAAGCCTCACTTACAAGGAACTTGAAGGAGCAACAAATAACTTCAAGGAAGAACTTGGGAAGGGTGCTTGTTCAACAGTTTACAAAGGAATTCTTGCTATTGGTAACAATAATTTGATTGCCGTTAAAAGATTGGACAAGATGGTGACAGACAGCGAGCAAGAATTTCAGGCAGAAATAAGTGCAATTGGCAAGACAAACCACAAGAATCTTGCGCAGCTGCTAGGATTTTGCAATGAGGGACAACGTCGGCTTTTGGTGTATGAATACATGAGCAATGGATCTTTAGCATCTTATCTTTTTGGGAATTCGAGGCCCAGTTGGTATAGAAGAACTCAAATTGCTTTTGGAACTGCAAGAGGGCTTGCTTATTTGCATGAAGAGTGCAGCAACCAGATCATACACTGCGACATCAAGCCTCAGAATATCCTACTAGATGACTCCTTGACAGCAAAAATTTCAGACTTTGGATTGGCAAAACTTTTGAAGACAGACCAGACACGAACTGTTACCGCTATTAGGGGTACAAAAGGATATGTTGCGCCGGAATGGTTCAAAAGCAAGCCTGTCACAGTCAAAGTTGACGTTTATAGCTTTGGAATTCTGTTGCTAGAGCTCATTTGTTGTAGGAAGAGTTTTGATCAAGATGCAAAGGATGAAAATCAAATGATATTGGCTGATTGGGCATACGATTGCTATGAAGAAGGGAGAATGTATATGCTAGTGCAAGAGGATGAAGAGGCAATTCAAGATATAGAGAGGGTAGAGAAGTTTGTGATGATTGCCATTTGGTGCATTCAAGATGATCCATTGCTAAGACCCACTATGAAGAGAGTCTCACAGATGCTAGAAGGAGCTATTGAAGTTGCTCTTCCTCCAAAATCTTCCAATTGATCAGTTCAATACTCATCTTCAACTGCCTCATTATCTATTGAAAAAAAAAAGATTTATTAGTCAATATTATTGAATAAATTTCGTTGGGTGAAATCTAGCTACTGTATGCTCATGAATATAAAGATGTTTTACAAGATAACGTCATGCAAACGTATTAATAAATGAATAACTATCATTTTTTCCAAGTAAGTTTTGTACTAGTATAAGATGAGAGTCTTCCTTATAAGATATCTCAAAGTCGTCTTAATTTTTAATTTTTGATTTATTTCAAAAAAATTTAAATGAGATTTATAGAGATAGTATATTTCAGTTTCAAAGTCTATGAAAATTTGCAAGATTCCTCTTATAAATAGCAAACTTTAGAGAACTAACTTTATTCTAAAGGCACATGTTAATAGCATGCTTATTGTATTTTTT